TTAACGGAAATGTGTTTGTTCGTTTATGAATATATTTTGTTATTATTCGGTAACTTCGTTTTCATACTAAGATATTAACATTTCCCTTAAAACACTTAATTACCTTCTCTCCATCAGGAAACCTAAGTACTCGTTAAACATCATATTTTGAAAAGGGAATAAATAATTGAAATTTGTATAATTAACAATAGCAAAATTTATGGGAAAGTCAAATGTGCAGAGTTTTGCTTTCAAGAGCTCAATATTATCATTTATTTTTAACGTGACGACAGGAATCCTCATTTAAAAAGTTCGACTCTTAAAATTTACCACAAACCGATAACGATATGACGGTAGGAAAAGGAGAAAATTCATTTAGAATGCTCCAACCTCAAGTTAAATGGTTATGACCAATTGGGACCGTTTGCAAATGAAACTGTTTTTAATTCAATCTTTGAGCGGTGGCCTGCTATGAACAAAGAGAACTTCCTATACCCTATTTACAAAAGTAACTAAATAGTTCTAACCAAGCACTGAAATTCGAGTGCTAAAGAAATAAAAACAACAAATAAACTCTGTCATAGTTTGCATTTTACTGCCAAGCATAAAAATGTCTGCACAAATGGTGGAAACGTTACTTTTATTGTATCTTTCTTGGACAACGAGCCAACTTTTTACTGATTTGAATCGATCAAAATATAAAGTTATTTACTTACTGATGCAAACGCCTTCTTCTACAAACTCCACATCACAGAAATCATAAGATTTCACTATTTATATAACATTAATAATACATATGTATCAAATACCGTTGGAATAGATAATGATTCGAATCCTCTTGTTATAAGTTTAGGAAACTGAAATGCATAGACATTTTGAATGGTATATTAATCACTGAACCATTCAATAATCAAAAATTGCACACTTAGAGTAATACTTGCGCAATAGGTTGTCATAGTCGTTGATAAAAGCAGCAGGCAAAGACTATTTGTTTATTAACTGGCAAGAAGTATATTTGAAGATTACGGTATATGAAAATCAAATATTTCAATTTTTAAACCAATATTTTTTTAACCAATATTTTATGTTTTACGTACGTACAAAAACAGTTTCTGGCCATAGATACAACTAAGGATTTTAAATTATAATTGTCAAGTCTTAAATAAAGATTGTATTAGTAATATTCTTGTAAATTAAATTTTTTCTTTATGACTACATTGCATTAACTGTATTATTTCATTGTTTATAAGTGTGTTTCATAAAATCGTAGCTATTTTATGTCTTCTGCAAATTTCAAACTTCCATTCATCAAGGGACTTGGTACTTTTTTCACAATATATTAATTTTTCACCAATCTACATCCTCAATTGATCTATTCTTTAAACACGTTTTTCAAACTATTGATTTAACTAATATATATAAATATATAAATGTGTATCCCTATTTTAATATGTGTCCTACGGTATGTAATTGACAACAATAGGTATAACATTAACCTATAAAGGTGTATCTTTCCCAGTAAGTATAAGCTTCAGCATACAAATAGGCCACAAGACAGCTTACATCACTGCCTACACAACCGTAAAATTGGCTAGTCTTTTATGACTTTACCGGCAATACCAAGACTTGAACTTCCTAACGTACGTAAACTTTAGGGAAATAAAACCATGTAAACGATGTTTATTTGTTGGTTTTGTAGCAAATGAACAAATAATAATTATGTTTTATATTTTTATGCAGTTTTGTAAACTTTTTACAGACATTTTCTGTCCTAAAACAACAACAAAATATGCCAGTCGTTTATATCCAAACGTTATGTTAACGTTGTGTTATTTTAACGTTATGTTATTAAATAGCACAAAATAAATTTCAACGTTGACTTGATCAGGGTTTAAACTTGAGGTACAGGAAATATTCAATGTTTTCAATATGTAATACACTTTGCTATATTTACGTATTGGAAATACCACCTACGCAGTAGGCCTGCAAACAAGAAAATGTGTTGTAAATTTATCGAACTTATTTTTAAACATGTGTATGGAAATAGGAGATAACACTTACTGTAGTCTCATACCAAATGTAAATAACAATATTGGGCAATGTGTATGTTTTCCGCTTAAAGTAACACGGTAAAATTATGGTTTCGTAATATTTATATTGTAAAATGTTATTGTCACAAGATCTACCAGTGAATTTGTTAAAGTATGTATTGTACTATGTACTGTACAATGTATTAAACAGTACCCTATAGTTTTCGACCACGGGGAACTGAAGGAAGCTGTTTGATAGTTTGGCTGATGTCCAACAGGTAGCTCTAGTGTGCTTGCGAACTCGTGGTGCACTCTGTTCGTCTTGATGTAAACTATAAACTGCTTTACCGACCTGGATAAAATTTATTGTATCGTCAGTTTAGTTTAGTAGATGGTTTTTTTCCTAGGACGCTAGGCACGAGCCCGGGATTGTTTATCACATTACTTCAGGCTAGACCTATGCGTTACGGCATTATCTCTTAGATAACATCCATTGGTGATTTGGCAGGATTTTAACCCGGGGCCCCAAGAACCAGACCAGCTCGCTCCCTAAGTAGGTTTGGTACAAACTATACAGATAACAATTATTTCAAAAATTTGAATTTGAACGATTGCCTCTGAATTGTTAAACATATTTTAGCATTGTTTTATGCTAAAAACAATGCTTACGCTAGTCTCTGTTCTGAGAAAATTAGTTTTTGTTGATTACATACTTTAGATTAAATTTCTATATTTTTAACACTAATTACCAAAGTAATTGAACCATATTATGCTTATGACAAAATCACCTACAGTATCCTACACTAGCAAATTACCGATCATATCATACACTTGTACTGTATGGTGTGTATTACAGTAGAACCTCTTTAGTCCGAACCCCTGTAATTCGAACGTCCACTAATCCGAGCGCCTCATTGCTGTACTCAATACACAGTACAGTAGTTCTTCATTGTATACTGTATTTATTGATATACGCACTATAGTTACTTGTAAATTGTAATGTATAGTACTGTTTATTCCCTATATTTACTACTGTATTAAATAAACACTGTATTTTAGTTTATAAAGCATTTTTCACTTTTCCCTAGCTTTGTTATGTATAAACAACAATATGTTCTGTAATCCAAACTATTCAATAATCCGAACTACCCTCGGTCCCATTTAGTTCGGATTAAAGAGGTTCTACTGTAATGTGAAATGGGATGAATATGGCTGTTCACAGAGTATTCGACTGCTTAACAACATACAGTACACTTTTATTGAACTAAGTGCTCTAGCTTTGACCTTTTCAAGCTCTAGACCACAGACAATACAATACTAGACCTCTTAATAATTATTTTCGACACGCCACGCTATCAAAGGTTAACAATTCCATTGTTGACTTCCCGACCCCAGTGACTAACTCACAACGATCCTTGTTAAAAGATTATCAAAGACATTTTTCAGAACTTGAGTTTTATTCATCTCTAAATTTATATCACAGAATCTAATCAACAACCTGTTATATTCTTAGGTGTGATATTCCGAGTAATTTGAAATGAGAATCACATATTAACTTTGTAGCTGTTAAAATATCCGAAGGTATGTTTATATAAAGAAAACTAAAAAAAATTGTTTCAATAAAAGTTCTACTTACTGTTTACTATAGCTACATACACTGTCATCTTACTTGTGGTACCATTAATTATGTGGGCTAATGGAGATGTAAAATATTTTTTTATGACACAGCCTCTAGAGCATGAATATAAACTAAGGCATTTGTTATCTCACAAAACCATAAACTTGTCTTTGAAACTATATTTAGCTTAAAACCATGTCTTAGAGTGTCCACAGTGTTTATGTAGTTTTAATAACTACTTTGCCTTGTCTTTGTGTTTATATTACATTTCAAATTTATTAAAAAGTAGATTTATTAATGGAATTCAACGGTATCGAATAATAACTATATTTTTCTGTAGGTCTAGCACAAACTGCATGTAAGCTTCAGCTTGGGAAATCGACAACTCGAGATCATATATTTAGGTTTTATAACTATAAAATATGGTATGAGATAACAACCATTATAATACTAAGTCTTGTATAACGGACCAGCTTACAAAAATATTCAATTTGGTTAGTAAAAACAAATTATAACTTGAGGAAATAGTGGAGAATTTAGCAAAAGAATTTTTATTTGTAAACCCCATATATTGCCGTATATTAATATTTTGAATATATTGAATATTAGTGTGTGAAATAACTTTTTAGGTGTTAAGTTTATGCTTAAAATGGTTTGAATGATTAATTTCAAACCCCTGATTATTTTCAAATACTTTCAAGGCTCTTTAAAGGCCTTTATTATGCCCTAGATTTATAGTTTAAAGACATTTTTATGTAGAAACACGTTTGAAATCCAAACCCAATTCGTCGAAACCATTACAACATACAGCAAACTGCATGACTCTTGCTCATCAGAATCTATCAATCAATTCCTTTCTCAAGTGTTTAAAACTTAGGTCTAAGTACCACAAGAACATTATAGGGGCTCAAAAGGATCAAATACACTTCATTATATTAAACCACTTTAATATTTACAACCACTAAATTAATAAGCGTATCAAATTATAAAGTATTAAGGCACATAGAATGTAATATTTACATGTGGTTTAGCTTTGAGCAATCTCCACAATACAATGTTGGAATATTAAATCCCCAGACAAACTTTTTCAATGATTAAAAAATAATAATTTAATATAATTACTGGTGCTCAATTAGTTATGAGCTTCGAATTGTAACCTTTGATATTACTTTTGGATAGTGACATAATAAATGTACAAAATACAAATTTTTACAAAGGGTTAATAATTAGTTAGTTATGATGTACAATTTTATAAATTCCTAAAAGTTCCTATATAAATCAGTCTGTTCTATTTAATTACAATAACTATACTAACAAGATACAGTATCCACAACTATGTACACTATATTACAATATTTACATTGTTTACAAAATCAGACCCTTGTGATGGGGACAGGCCGAGCTTTCCTCGGAGCTGTAAACAGTCTGCTCCAAGATCTACAGGTTTTCCCGGACCAAACCCACATCCCGGATGTGACTCCCACAACTAGAGACAGGAACACTCGTAGAAGCACAACTTCCACTCCAGCCCAGTGGTAGGAGGGCCCCGGGGCACAGCTGGGGGAGGCACTGCAGTCCAGAGCTGAGAGTAGCGCCAGAGTACGCCACTTGGGGCGATGCCGTGCCTCGTACATTAGACATGCCAGTGCTGCCAAGGCGGGGAGAACATACAACGCTGTGAACACAGCCAGCCGAGTCATTAGGCGCTCTAGTTTCGCCGTACTTCCTCCCGCTTGTCTTAACTCGGTTCTCACTCTGACCAAAGCTGCTGCGCCGAGACACGCCACGATGCAGCCGAGACCCAACATGATGCCGTGGGGGATCACCAGGAACGTGATGGAGGACGACTCGTCCACCTGACACAGCCCGGTAAGCTCGTCAGCGGAGACGCGATGTAGAGCGAGGGCGAGGAGTGCCAGGACTGCGGGGAAAGCCCACGCGGCCACGTGGAAGTACGAGGCTAGACCATGTACAGCCTCACTGCTCCACTTCTTGGCTGCTGAGAGGTACCAGGATGTTGCCAACACAACCCACCTAGAAAAAAATGTGATTTTTATTTTGTTATACATAAATTACTACAAAACACTTACGTTTGTAAAAGTAAAGGCAAAATTAAATTGAACCACCTTTGACATATTTATATTTCAAAGGAAGGTGAAATTTTAAGATAAGACTTCAAAGTTGACAACCATAATTTTGATATTACTGACTGTATTCTAATTACATTCCTAAATATGTGAGTTGTAAAACTTATAACGATTTGAAATAGCTCATTGAGTCAACCTACCAAACACTAGCAGACAGTCCGCAGTAGTAGAGCAGCAGGAACACCACAGTACACGGAGCAGTCTCCAGACCATCCACGGCCACGTAGCCGTCGTACCCATCTGTAGCCGAGGTGCAGGTGAAGGCCTCGGGACCCACGGAGCCTCTGATGATGTACACGAGAGACGTTGCGTTGTAGCAGAGAGCCAGAAACACAACAGGACGTTCTGGGTACCGAAACCTCGCAGGCTCCACCCAGAATGTCAACAGTGTGAAGAGAGTAGAGACAAAACACAACCAGGCCCAGCCTGTCATCCAGCGCTCGGCAAACAGCTTGTCCTGCAAAAAGGCAAATGTCACCAAACTTGTGATTTTATGATTGATTTTACAAAGTATCGTTACAATAATGAAAACTTAAGATAATGCTAGTCCCTGCTTTATTAGTCCATATTATTATTAGTAGTAGTAGTAGTCCTTCAGAATTTAAGTGTCTAAAATCATAGAAGTGAACTGAATTGTATAAAAATTGTATCAATATGAATTAAAATTAATCCCTAAAGTTTATTTGGCCACAAAATAAACTGTTATACCAGTGCAGGAAAAGGTAGATTGGCAGTTGTTTAAAAATTCATCCTTAAGAAGTCATGATGAGTGTGGGTCAGTGTGGGAAGATTATAGAAAAGCACATAAGTCATAAGTTATTTAGTTCAAATACTCTCCTTAATATAGAGATGAACAACTGTGCCAGTTATAAACCTCTACAATTGAAAAATGTTCTTTGCTTCATTGAAACATATTAATATTTTAATCCCAATTCACCTCATGGCGGTAGTAAGCATCCCGGCCACACTTGGGACTACATGTCACAGAGGTGGGTTCCCGGGTCCGGGTGAAGTCCGGGGGACACTGATGGTGGGGAGGGACCACTCCGGAGGTAGACTCTGGCCAACCTCCCTTTGCTCCCTTCTCCTCACTGACATTAGGGAACTGCATACATAGTCCGTTTCTCTCCGGGACAGGAAACCTGGAAACATAATTTGAGGTGAGTAAAAAATATTTTATAACATTTTTCCACCGTGGTGATTAGGTCTGTAGTTCCTGACAGGTATAATGGATGTCATTAAAATTATTATAACCAATTTTGTTACGGATTCAAAAATTTAGAACCTACAATTATTAAAAAGTCTATGTGGTCTATGTTTGTATGGAAATTTAGAGCCTCTCAAAACCAAGTGGAAGCACAAAAATAGAATAATTAAAGATGTAATTAAAATATATTTGACAAAAGAAGCAAAATGATTCTTATATTTATTTTGCAATTGAATATTTATTTGAGAAAAAAAACAACAAAAAGATTTTCTACAGACACATTTGTACTCGTATTTTACTGGAAAGTTGTTCAGTAGTGTTTGATGTCTAGTTATATGTGTTTCAAGCAAGTAACTTAAATTTTTTATCTTTTTTGTTTCTAGATTATTTAACTTCAAACAACCATAATCCATAGCAGTTAGTACTGTGCATTATAGTGAATTTTTGTAAGATATAATTAGGCGTATGCGAAGCAGCAAAAAATCTTCGATTCAATTCAACAGATTTTTTAATCGAATCGATGCAACTCGATTCAAAGCAATACAGCATTTTTCTATCCATACTTGTCAATGGAGTGAAATAACAATAATTAAATTTACCACATTATTTGTGAAATGCAAATTTTATTGATGTGGTATAAGACCTTTCCATACATATGGGGGGAAATGTTTATTTTCAATCATATTTTAGAAGAAGCTGTATTGCTCAAAATGTCAGTAAGCTGCTTTACTTACCTAGTTCATAATTTTTACTTGCAGAATCATATTGTTAAGCATGTAAAGCAAGTTATTTCTTAATATTGAGTTTACAAATAAAGATATGTTTTAGTGTAAAAAAATAAAAACATTTGTGGAATTTATACTGAAACTTTCAATTGGTTTACATTGATTAAATGAGAGGATACAATCAGACCTACTTACTAACTACAAGATACACCTTCAGACCTGCAAAGATATTTATCAGTATAAAAGAATCAAGTAGGCCTAACAATTTTTCGGTCTTGGAGTGACTTGTTTTAGATATGTTTAAAGTAGTAAAACATTACTCACACTGCTTACACTTAACAAAACTTCTCATAATTTGCAATGTCAAAAAAACACAATTAAAGCAATATTTACATGCAAAGAATTCATTAAATTTATAACGCCTTCAAAAAAGAAAACACAACAGCAACGTGCTCCTGTATTGCGGGTATTGCATTGATTTTTTGCAGGCGTTTTTCGTGTACGGATAATGACTCCTACATGAATCGAACCGTTTGTTGACCACCACTGAATCGAATCGCGATTCGATGCATCGAATTGAAACGGAATTTAGATGCATCGTACACCCCTAGGTATAATTCATTAATCAACAGTTTGATTTCTAAATTTATTTAAAAAGTTAAGGATATTTAATTTTTTATTGGCTAATATCTTGAACAGTTAAATTTTACCTCAAAAGGTGTTCAATATCCCGCAAAGCGATGTTAAGGTAAGGTTTGTATTTTTTTAGACGCTCCCCCACAAAAGCAACGCAACATTGATGAGAATTTAACTTTAATACCTTGAGCAGTTGAACAGCGCAGGCCAAGGGAAGGCGAAGGTGTCCATGACGGGACGACAGTCAGCCTCCACTTCCTCACAGAGACCTCGGCATGATGGGATGGCTCCGATGACATGCTCGGAGCACAGCGGAGCGAACACCGAGCACAGGAAGAAGCGGAGGTGTCGCGAGCAGTTGTAGTGCACCAGAGGCATGAATGCCTGCAGCTAAAACAGGAAAAGAGGGAGGGTTAATTCTCTCTATAAAAGTTTTTTACAAATAGTGTATAGGGGTAACAGTACAAAAAATATGATTAAGAAATTAGAGTTAGAAAGATGTATAAGTCATTGTTAAGTGAACTACAGTATCACTTTTTCCTGATTCAAGTGTTTTCCCAGGAGTTTTTTTAAATGTTACCAGGGCGGATAGGTTTTACATTTTTTAAGTCAACATGTTATTTTGTGGTATGGTAAATGTTGATACTCGTAGTAGTTTTTGACAATATAATAAAATTTGACACCATATTTGTGAAATGTTTGTGTGTGGAATGTTTGTTATGTTTTTTAACTGTTTGACGACATTAGTTTGCAGTTTGACTGCAAAACATGTACATATTCAACTAAAACTGAGGTGTATTGATATAGGAGATATTTTCTTGCACCATAGTTTTCACATACAACAACAACAAATTTTTGCAGTCAAAAGATGAAAATTGCTTCTTGACCTTTCACTTGGTGAGATAGAAGCGGTCTACTTCTTGAATAACTACCGCCCTGATCTCTTTACTACCACTAATCGTATGGTTAGAATTTTAACTTGTTGTCATCAAAGTTTAATTTGGACACAGTAGTTATATTTTAACAATCTTTAATTTGAGAGAAGAATACTTCTGCAAAAAAACAATTTTAGAGTAGCTGCATATAGGTGGGCTGTCGGCAAGACACAGCAAACTGTCGAAGACCATTTTCTCTTGACATTTTGTTTTTCACCGCTTTATTTCTTTCACGGTTGCACAAATGCCAAGACCACATACCACTTTTTATCTAATTACATTAGAGACCACGTAACAAAGGAAGCATTTGAGGACTAAATTGTCCAATTATAATCAACAGGTAAAAAGGTGGAATTCCAGGTGCGTAGCCCGCCGACGGCGATAGCGGGGATTCTGTCGCACAAGAAGAGGCCGGTAGTTGGTCTGAGCAAAAAGCGTTCGCGACCCGCAACTGATGGATTCAGCAACCGGTCTGAGTGCGGCTCCGAGCTGCCACAAACGCAGCTGTCATACGGCCTCCGTCTGCATCAAATGTTCCCGACGGACAAAGACCCACGCGGGCGGGCACCGCAGCCATGTGTGGTACTGCAACTACTGTACACGTCTAGATGAAAAGACTTGCAATGGATCATGGTCGAATCCGTTTAATGTTAGGGGTGGTTCCGTCATAGTTGAAAAGAAGGGTGTAGGATTAATGACCATTGATAGACATAGACATACTGTACCATTCAAGCTGGAACCAGTTTAGAAGATACATGGACGTCGTTGAATTGAACTACCGACGGAGTAATGATATTCAATCCCTTAATTATGTTTTGCACCTTCAAACAGTAATTGAGAAAATCGACTTAGGCAGTGCAAACTTTGAATGGCTCATTCAACTATGGGATGCAAAAGTATACAATAATCTATGGTAGAATACAGTTTATTACCTAATCACTCTTTTGCCCCACTCAAAAGAGGATAATCTCTTACTGCAAAATACACTAGGTAGTAGAATAATATGCATTTTCCAATTAGAATTAGTTTCAGAACAGAAACGTATCGTAATGTTCTCGAGTTTGCCTTTAGACATGCGTCCAGCGTTACTATAATTTCCGAATTACTACTTTGTAACAGTACGAAACGTTTAAAAAAGCCTTTTTTCTACAAATATGAAAACACAGTGAACATTAATTGCGTTTGGCTATGAAAACTAACAAGAAGTAAGCACTGTCAAAGTTGGGCAAGTTGAAACAATAACTTGGTACAACTTGTGCCACTTACGACTGAGCTCTTATAAAATACAATTAGCATTGTAACTTTTGTAATTTTACCCATTATACTATACTTTCTCCCACCGCTTGTCCAATAAGGGTTGTTGCAAGACAAAGAAGGGAATTATTTGTCAGATTGCTCCCGTTTATTTATCAACCAGTCACCAATGTCCCGAAGTATTATTGAAATGTTCAAACCACTCACTTTCAGTTAGCTAATCGAACCATTAAACAATTAGAGCCAGTTCTGGTTTGGCCGGAGGGGAAGCTGGGAACAAAACGAGTGATCCACTGGGGCTAATTCAGCCCTTGGTATTGTGAGGCCAGGAAATTAGCCGGGGACTACCTGGGTCTCAATAGCGCCCCAGGGGTCGTGTTCAGCCCCAGCGGAACTTTGAGTTTTTGTGGTGCGAGCCGACCGTTGACAAGGGAAGATGGTTTACAAGATGTTGTGGAGGGCGGTGCAGAATGTAACGAAGACTCCTGGGGTTGCGAAAACACGGTCTATTGATAGCTGATAATAGTAGAGTGTGAGGAGGGAACCATTTACGATGAAAAAGTGATATGAACCGCATTTTTTTTCTCATTGGCTTGGTAAAAAAAGTGTTCAACTGTTGTAGGCCTAGATGTAAAGTTGGTTAGAAATATTGTACTTTAAAGTTGTTTTCTTCTAAAAGCAAACTCCAACAACACCATTTTTTGAACTTAGTTGATTCCAAAACGAGAAATCATCAACTTTATGTTGGAAAGATTGCAGCCATATCGAAATACGAGAATTACACTTGCAAAGGTTCAATTTATAACTAATTGACTAGGCTATCTTCTTTCACTGGAAAGCAATTGTTTAACGCATTATATTGTTCATTGGTCGCATCACATAATGCTGAGTTTTCGTGAAAACATACCCGACTATGCTATAACGTAAATATCCATCACCCATAATACGCAAGTATCTTCGATTTTAACACTACTGAAACAGTAGGCCTAAGAGTGTTAGTTCCACTTCGAAAAATAAAAGTTCTATTAATTTTGTAATTCATTTCCTGTAAGTTAAAATTGTAAGTTATCCATAAGTAGTGTCATTCTTAAACAAGCATTGTTATTGTTGATAATATCATGGACAAATATTTAATTCTATATGTCAAAGATAATATTTAGCACAAAGCAAACCAAAAGTTGTCCTTTAAAAAATCAAAACCTTCAGAATTTTTATCAATTCAAATTGCTGTAAGCTCTAATTTTTGGTTTTGCAATGGTTTTAATGTTAAGGTAATGGTGGATATTAAGGTAACCTACAAAACTGCCGAAATCAATGTAAATTCCTGTTAAAAAGCAACCTATTTTTAAAAAGCATAATAAATCTTTTTGGCATTCTTTGAAGTATTTGACACAAAACGTTTCTCTTAGGTTTTAGAAACCTCTCCGACGTTGACTGAAGGCCCGAGATTCCGTAGGCCAAATGAAGACGAGCCTCAGATGGCGATCGACATAATGGGAAGAGAGAAGAGATGATGAATGGGGGAGAGAAAAGAGAAGAACGAAGAGAGGAAGAGAGACGAGGAGGCTGTTACCCGGGCACCAACCATCATTACAGACTCATCTCAATAATCACCAACGCCTGAGCTGTGGCCAGACCACTCTCCAATTAAACATAATTAATACTTACAAACCCTCCGAGAACCTTCCGAGAAACCGTTCAAAGTTACTGGAACTGTAGACTTTTAAACTGCCAAAATGCCTTTGTTGACGCCATCTTTGATTTGGTCGTCAAGGTCGGTGATAACTGGCATTTACTGTGATCAAAAACAGTTATGGTTGCCAGGTTTACGTCTACATCCGTCCTGCGAGGATTGGCGGTTGGGTCAGCAAGTCAGAAATGTTCGTTGGAGTTGGAATGAAAACTCTTGTTCATATTTGTCATCCATTCTACTTTTATTATTACCAAACGTTTACACATTACTGTAGTTAACTTTTTGATCAGCATCATAGACCGACAGCAGTGCTGCCGCTGTTGTTACCATAAGTTCTGGCGTCCACCGCTTGGAGCGCCGTGTAGTTAGAGCGCACGTGCTACGTAACTACACGTGCCATTAATGCAGACTTAGAATAGGTAGGTACTGCAAATAGGCACTCCATGTATGTGAATCAAATGAACTATTGACTTAGGATACTGCAAGTAGACTATTAAGCTTATTGCAGGATTAATATGCTAGCTCCGCTCAATATTGCAAGCAGACAACTACATTGTACACCTAGTCTAGTTCCTTCTGAGAATAGGAAACATTGATTAAATTTATTTAGAGATTTGTCCTTATGGATCAGCTGAGAACGGTTTTAAGGAAGTTTATATCCGGTATATGTAGAATGCATATGGCCTTTGATATCTGTTACTGTACTTGTTATTTTACAGATTTATTTTTATCAAATGCCAAAACTAAAACGATTTGTGTAAATAAACGTCCTCTAAATTTATAATCAAGGAATAATGCACGTACTTTTCAATTTTCCCTCGACCAAAGAAACACGTTTCGTCGACATCAGCACACTCGTACTGAACTAAGTAAGCTCAGATGTTAGGAAGGGATGAGAAGTCGAGAAGTTGTTTGCAGTATCCAAAGTCAATGATAAAACAAAAAGTTTGTCTCTGACTAGGTGTTAAAGACGCCCTGTCAGGTTATTTATACACCCTGAGAACCTTTCGTTATTTCCAGACAACCCTACCACTTTCGGTTGTTTACAGTTTGCTTGTGGCGCTCTCCATCGAGAGGCAATTTAACTTCTCACGCTGTCAGTCGAAAACAAAGAGCAGTAGCTACAATTAGATGGCTGTAAACGCTGTAAACGCTATATCAATGATTTTTTAACGAAACCAAACTGAAACGGCAACTAATTGTGTACGAAAACCTCTTTTATCTCATCAAGTATATCAGTAACAAAATTAGAGAGAAAATGAAATTCCAGACTGTGGCACACTAGTTTAATAGCTCTAGTTATGATCTATTTGGAGAAAAATATGGGATGGGGATGAGATGTCTACTTTAGTGTTCCTTTAGATTCATTATTCCCAGTTCTTAGGTTTAGGTTAGGTTGAACACAAATGCAATCAAGTTTGTGTTTTTTTACATTGTTGTACTCACACCACGCTCCGCCTGCAGCTGGTCCTCATGTCCGACAAAGTTAGGCATCACGGTCAAGTTGTACCCAAGCTCCTGGCACATGGGTATGGTGATCTTCTCACACTTGTCGGCCCAGGAGCAGGCCCAAAGGGCCCACAACACTACCACTACGCCTCTCATGGCGACCCGACCACAACTAACTCAAAACTCGCTCCGCTCTCTCAAACTCTCATTCATTCCCCCTCCCCCCTCTTGGCGGAATGCACCTCGAACCTTTGACCAGCACCGCCTCGCCTGGGAGAAGAAGCGAGGAGCATAACACCAAATGACCACATTATCCGCCCGCGCCCGCTCTACCGGTTTTTATTCGCCCGACTGCGCGACGACATTGGTATGGCAAATGACCCCGCCTTATCTTTCCGATCTGGAAAAGAAGACGGTCGTTTTAATTAATTCGGTTCGATGATTTGATTCCGGTTGCGGAGCTTCTGTGCGCTGAGAGGTTTTTGTCGGTGGAAATCTTATATACGCTTAATGGATGCTACATTTATGAATTCCACTTTGGTTGTCATGTAAAAAAAATTATTGGAGTGATTTTGTGTTTTTTTATTGTACACGCCTGTACAATTTCTTACACGATAAGTGTTCGGGATAGCCTAATGCACAACAATGTTGTAACTATATTTTCATTACACTGTCTCAAAAACAGCTGTTTTACGGATAATTTTGAGTCCCTAAAAGATAGCTTTTTGTGGACTAGTCCGTACAATTTTACGGACTCGAATCATATGGTTATGTCAAAGCTTATCTCAAAAACAAATCAGCTGTTCTGATCCTTTAAAATGCTTCAACAATGAGCCGTATTAATAAAAAGAAGGATATGCTCAAAAGGAAAAGGTATGAAGCAAAAGCATTTGCTCCTAGTAAAAGGTAAAAGTAAAAGCATATCCTTCAAACCGTATTAATAATGATTACCTTTTACTTCCGAGCAAATCCTTCTGCTCGGAAGTAAATGGTTCTTTAGGAACATCACATGTTACACATCTGATCCTGTCTATTTTTGTCTACTGATATCCCTCGAAGGCTTAACTGTGCCAACTCCGTGTAATGGTTTTGCATCTGGCTTTAAATTTAATCATAACAAACTAAATTATAAAATTTAGAGTGTGTGGGCCGGAATTTTACCCCGGATTTTACCCCTAGAATCTTAACCCCTTTCTAGACATATAATTTGGTTGATGATAATAGTTAGTCGGGTACATAATAAATTTGTTTATAGAAATCATCATATATGCTTTGTGATTAGTTTTGTAAAATATTTACAAACACAACATAAACAAATGAATACTAAACATATGTTATTTGTCACTTTGTAGATAGCATGCAGTACTGTATAACCACAGAAACCCTCGCCGCAGCTGCAGACTAAATAAATTTCCTTTTCTGGCTGGATTTCTTCTAAAATATTCCCTGAAAATTGTCAGATTTATTTCCTATTTAAATAATATTAATTTTAATGAGTACCTAGGTTTGCTGATTCAAAGAAGGTGTTGAGGTGTGTTTTTATTGAAATGTTGATAGCTTTGTAGGAGGTAAACAAAATACTCCCGCCACAGCAAACCTGCAGACTAAGTAAATTTCCATTTGCCTGATTGGATGTACTCTAAAATGTCTCCAATATCACATCCATTCCCTATTTAAATCGCTTTAGTTTAACTGAGTACTTAGGTTTACTGCTACAGGGAGGGTAAAAAGGTTTTTTTTTATAAAATGTAATAGTTTAGTATGATAGAATGCAAATTTGATCAAAAAATGCTCATAAACAAGAAAACTACAACAGTTTAAAAATGTCTCCATAAAAATAACATGGAAATTTTAAATTTACATTTTTTTTTTCTCCGTAGCCATTAGGCGCATAATATCGCTTTGATATACTAAATTAATAGTTTTTTTAAACTCTACAAAATGGCGTGGAAAGAAGTTGCTAAAATCTACGTTTTTAGGGTAAAAAATGTTAAAATCCAATTACCCTATAAAACCGCTCATAAACCATCGTTTCCATATCCTATTATGCTGATTCGCGAATCCCTTAGAATAAACATAGGTTTACACGTTTGCACCAAATTTAATCAAAATCGGATCACCTTTGCTCGAGTTATCGTGCTAACGGGCAAACATGTATATGAATTTGAACGGAGGAGGTTTTTGGCCTCTGGGGACCTGAAACCGGAAAAGTAAATGGGTCATGGGTCTAGGTCTTACCATGAGACCTACGGAATAGCTTTTGCCCTATTTAGGAAATTCGCTAAAATTTAGCACCACACTAAAACCACCACACACCTTTTACTTAAACGTATAATCTGCTACTGATCAGATGCATCATTTTTGAAGGATTTACTTCAAAGAAAAAGTAAATGGTGAGTTTTATTAATAACAATTTACTCAAGTCATGAGCAAAACCTCAAATTTCTATAGATTACCTTTTACTTCTAAAGCAAAAGGTTTTGATTTAGTTTTTATTAATACAGATTGAAGGATTTGCTCGAATTTTCGCAAGTAAAAGGTTTACCTCTTCTCTATTAATACGGCTCAATATATAAACAAACTTTGTTTGTTTCTTGGTAAAGCAGTAAACGCTCCTTTTTATAATCAAACGGTTTTGGCTATATTTTATATTTTCTGCTATAATATATGACAATGTAATGAAAAATATTGTTCGCAACTCGTCCTAAAATACTTTTTTTGTGACTTATTCGAATTTCCGGACTTGGCAAAGCCTCGTCCGTTAAACGCGATATCGTCCCAAAAAAACCTACTTTAGGGACTAGTGACGAAAACTACTATTTTTGGACATGTAACAAATATTGCCATTTTACGGACGACGTGATTATGGAACTCAACATAACCCCCGTGGGTTTGTTTGGGGTTCAAACATGCATTAACTACTGGTCGGATTGGGCTGAAATTTGGCATGATAGTTCATTAGTTCATATTTCCCAGTTGTAGATATTGACAGCACAGAAACAGATGTATGAAAAGTAGTTTTAGGGGAACCTCTGGACTACCAATATTTGTTAGGGAATCCACAAGGGAACCAAAATCATAGACTCCAATAACAAAAAAAGTTAAAAGAAAGGGAACTGCCAAGCAACCTGTTGTGTCGTACTTGGTAAATTATACATAATATGTTATATAATCATATAATATATGATTGTTATTTATGCTATTCAACCAAATTTGTGTTTTCAAAAATTGACAACGAAAACACACTTAATACGAATGAGATGCAGTTACTACCAATTCGGTGTATTGTAGTATGTTGGAGAATTGTCTTGCTGTTATTAATTTAAGCTTAATTAGCTGCTGTATATATTTTCTATAGTTTTGCAAATTCATATAGCCTTCGCGAAAATATCTACTATACCATAAAAAATCACACAGCATGTGTAAGACCGAAGTTTTTATACCCTTTTTAACTATCTAGCTTTGTTGATATCTCTTTATCATATAGTATTACCACTTTAGACGGTATAGGACGAAGTATGGACATTTGGTATGGTTGTGTTTTAAATGAAATATATTTATATACAGTACCTTGCTCTCACACCATTGCCAATTCTCTCTTGGCTCCAAAAATCCATCCCTTCTACTATCATGGAGAGCCAAGCTTTACTACCCGTTGGATAGTATTACAACGAAGATCAGATAGTCAGATAATTATGTACTACCTTAAGGGTTACATCTATCTATATAAATAAAATTAGAGTTTTGTCTGTACATTGTTCAGAATCATAAAGTTTTAGGTTATTTTTACGTTTTATACATTAAAGAAGCCGAAACAAGTCTCATCTAAATTTCTGTCTGTCTGTCTTTCTGTAACACTCAAGACGGCATTTTACTCAATCTTCTCCAGGAAAACGAGAGTACCTATCACGATCCAAGTCATTTTAATGTATTCACTGGATTGGCGAGAGTGTCTTTAGCCATTAAAATATGGCCTCACTACTTTTTAAATAAAAATACGGACGTTCAAAAATGCAGTTTTGTGCGATTTTTGTCAAGTTTTCGTCCAATTTTTATCACATAATTATCCATGAGATAACGAACAGCTGTTTGGATCAAGATTATTTTATCTAGCTGTCACTGATATGTTTACAAATGTTGTTTACAAATACCACAACCATTTCCGATCACATTTTGAAGGCAAATCCTAACCAAGTGAGATTAAAAACGTTTTTCTTACATAACGGATTTAATTAATCGCAAGTGGAATAATATAATGTAACCGTAAATGAAATTAAATAACTAGGCGTCATCCAGGTCAGGAACCAGATATTCTTTGTGTATAAAATTGTTCTTGAGGTTAGATAACCAGAAAGAAGACCTTGAATCAGTGTTGTATAGGGCTGGGAAACTTAAATTTATTAATGATCTTCGCCAATAGCTTACAAACAAGGTTTCCACTCATTGACGGCGCTTCAATGGTGATTGTGTAAAGTGTAAAGTAAACAACTGCAGTGGGTGATTGTAACAGAGGTTTACGGTTTATGGACGATGCTAAACTCGCTTTTCCAATGTGTCACTTTCTGTTCCTACTCACCGTGTGATGCAATCGCTGGACCATACAGCCAAAAGGCCCATAGCCAATCTCTTGGGTACTTACGCCTACCCAATTATTCAAAACAACCTTTTTGACGACGATCCTTGATACCGGTACTTTTCCCTAGAATACACGGCCTCCCTACTTAAGAAATAAAATTACAAACGTCCAAAAACCCAGCATTGTGTGATTTTTGTCACATTTCTTTCTAATGTTAATCGATATACCAATCATTGTTTAGAGAATACGTAATCTATTAAATAACAAAAAGTGTTTTTTTTTTCAAACTGACACCGATAAGCTTACATTAAAAGTTGTTTACAAATACAGCAATTAATGGGAAATAACTTTGATTGCCGATAACTTTTTACGAGAAAATCCAAAACCAAGAGATCAATAACCTTGATTAACGCATATAATTGGTCTGATGTACTATAGTTCTTAACTGTAAACGTTGGTTTTTGGTACTGGTTCTTTTCCCTTAGAACCGTTGGTAGCAGCAAGAATCATTTTTACGTACCATCACATCGCAGTAATTTACAAATTAGTGTTATCGTTGGTGTTGTGCCTTATTTATTAC